TATTATGAAATATATATTTTTTCTTAGTTTCTTCAATGGATAAATTTTTCTACGCTCCATTTATTATCTTCATCTAGAGAAGAATGTGGTATCCCCGTGAACCATATTGTATCGCACAGATGATCATCCAAAATAATCTGAGTTCGAGGCAGCAGTATGACTTCAACACATCTCAATCGGTCTTTCAGATCGATACGATGATGAGACACAGTCGATTGACAATGCCTTATCATCATCCACAATGATAAAAATTAATTATTGCTAATGGAACCATGCAATAAAATTTCAGGAACGGTGCCACAGTTATACAAAGCTACCCGGGCTAATACAGATAAAATTAAAAGAAGGGTGGCAGAGGGGCGGGGTTCGGACCAGGGAGTTCTCTATACAACTCAACCACTGCCGCTCAAAGTGGGAGCAAACAGTAGCTATTCCACGGACTGATAATTATCAGTCAAATCGAAATTCAAAATTACCAGGTTCAATGTTCTTCCTCAGACCGTTTTCGCACCCTCTCGTCACCGTCCCTATTCGTCGTCTACGACTCGAAGTTCGATATGGTCGCGTAGGGATGCGTATCACGTGATGCGTTTCAGCCAACTGATCCACATCGGACGTGTCTGAATTGATCGGTTTTGAACCAGTGATCAGAACAGGTCCAATAGTGGACGAAGTAATTCGAGAAGGAGGCATCGACGATGCCACACGGGTAGGGGACTCGGGCGCGATGGAAGAGATTGACTTGGTCAAAGGCATAGATTGGTTCGGATACGGGGTTTTGGGACGTTCGTGTGTTGGTGTCATGGGTTTGATCGGTGCGGTTGGTTCCGTTGGTTGCGGTTCGACAGGTGTGGGGGGCGCATTGTCACGGAGTTTTCGTTGCCGTATGGAACTGTTCAGTTGGACCGTGGCCAGGACCGGTTGAGCACGTACTTTTACCGATTTTCCACGCATTCGTGGCACGGAATTGTGCGAAACTTTGAGCGTGGGGGAGATCGCGCGAACAAGAGACTGTAATAAGAGAAGAATGAAGATGGATTAAGATTGATACTGACTATTCATATTGTTTATTTTATTTATTTATTTTTCTAAGATTGACCTGGAAGCTACCTATTTTCATTATCATGTCGGTTTGAAAACTTGCATATATTACTTGAGTTAATGATGTTGTATAACGGGACCGGGCCTTGGTTCAACCTGACTCTGTACTGGTCAATTAGATGTGTTCATCTTGACTATCGTACGTGTGGTTGGAATCCAGGTTGAGGATGTGCATGATGATGATAAAGGTAGTCTGCCAGAATCGAGGAAAAATCAAACAAATCGAGACAGTTTTTCTGCAAACCGAACATTTCTCTTATCCTTGAATTTGTGGACAAATTCGAAGCGATTATATCATATATTTCATAATAAGTAGTATAAGAACGACACAGCAAAATGTCCCTACAGACACACGACGTGTTTCCCGGGTCCTATAGGTTTCCAGTAATCATTTGTCCGTTCATTCATATACTACTGTATGTTATACAGTATGTTATAAAGTCATATTCATATTTATTACATTCATATAGAAATTAAATCCTTCGACAAAAATATGTACATATGTATATCATGTATATCATTGGCTTGCCTCAAACTTCGTCATTAACAATCCCATGTTTCCACCAGACACGAGCAACTCTTTGAAGTCATCGATTTCAGTTTCAGTTTCATTTTGCACAACCATTAAACATGCACTATCGTGCACCAGTTTTGGTTGCTGTCTTTTGATCGTCCCCATTTGGATGAAGCAGTAGAAGAGAAAGACAAGATCATGGAGAACATTTAGAATTTCAGAGAAATCGATAAGATGCGCGAGCGCCACTGTTTACGACACTCAGCCATATCACACAGTGTCTCTAATCATCGGTTACGATCATCCCGAGGTCCCCAGCCAGGGAACCTAACAGGACCTCTGTCACCCAGTCTCCTGGTTAGAGTTATCATACCATTGTGCCAGGTCTTAGTTTGACCACCCTTGACTTCTCTCCACCCACTACCTACCACAGCAAACATCACTCGCCGTGGTAATCTATCTGGTGACATGCGTAACACATGACCCATTCACCGCAATTTATGGAGGTCAACCATTTGCTCCAGTGAACGACCGCGACTGCCTAAAACTCTACACCTAACCTCAGTATTACTCGTCCGGCTACCCCAACAGATTCGTACAATGCTACGTAGACAGCGGTGTTCAAACACCGACAATCTACCTCTATTCTGTTTTCTTAATGGCCAAGTTTCTGAGCTCTATGGCAGAATTGACCGAACTGCTGCTGCCGAACTGCAGACATCGGTGATCGAATACAGAAAACCGATTGACATTCTGAACGCAGATAGTTCAGGTCTCGAAACGAAACAGTAAAACACTACGAACAGTAGCGATATGTATATATACCCTTCCGTTAAAGAACAGTTCGATGTCATGGAGGCGCCATAATTATCGGAGGTGGGTAACAAAAGAGATCACTTTGCCTACACAAGCTCCCAAGATACTTATCATACCATGATTATCTTGGCACACAGTCTGACCTCGTATGGTGGTAATAATGATGACGATGATGATGCTGATGATGCTGATGATGATGACGATGATGATGTTTCGGATGATGATTCGTATTGGGATGATGATGATGATGATGATGATGATGATGATGATGATGATGATGATGATGATGGTGATTCATGATGATGATGATGATGATGATGATGATGATGATGATGATGATGATGATGATTATGATGCACATGTTTACGATGATGATGATGATGATGATGATGATGATGATGATGATGATGATGATGATGAAGATGATTCATGATGATGATGATGATGATGATGATGATGATGATGATGATGATGATGATGGTGATGATGTGTGATGATGATGATGATGATGATGATGATGATGATGATGATGATGATGATGGTGATGATGATGATGATGATGATGATGATGATGATGATGATGATGATGATCATGATCATGATCATGATGACTCGAATGATGATGATGATGATGATCATGATGATCATCACTTCAGAGGATGAATGCAAGCACAGAATCCTCTAAATATTCGGATCCTACCCGGACTACGTGAAAAAACATGGCAGTTAGAAGTTAGAGAATTTGATATTTAATAAATATGAATCACCGCCCTCTCCCATGTTCATCGTATCAAGGCAGAAGAAGACATATATCGCCAGATGTATTAAAATTTCGTTTGATTTTCTCAATCTTCGATGTAAAACAAACAAGCATATCTATGACACATTGAATAGACATGGGCTATTAGACCTAAAAACATAGGTCAACTCAACACGGCAAGTGAACTGATTGGATCAACAACTTTTGGGCGCACACCGCGGGATTGTGTATTCGGATTATCAAGGCTTCACTTATTGCCTTCAGTTTTGCATTCCAGTTACTTATTATCAACGGCTTGAAAGAGGAAACGAGATCAATTGTGTCTGGTTGTCCTGAGATGTTTTCCAATAGGTGACCCCTGGTTACCGTCTGATTACTGGATGTGGACTGTGTCATCGATTTCACCAATCACTTTGAAATGCATTCGGCTATCTGCTGTGATAATTGACGGTTGGTTCTGTCTATGTATGCGTCACCGCAACTGCAGCAGGTGAACTGTTATACAGTGTATGAGAGATAGAACTGGACTGCCAACCACGTACACTTTTGTCCAAAACCATTCGACGAGTAGAGGAAATAAGTTGCAGTTGAGCAGCTGGGAATGTCCGGTTGAGAGTTGACTTTAACTTGTGGCGCACAGCCTTTCAGAAGGTGATCGCCCTTAAAGGATAGTTTTATGCAAAAGGTATTCTGGGGAACATTTGGCGATGGAGTACCTTCTTGAGTTTGTTTACTATGAATATCAATGAATTATTCTGGGTAACTGTTTGGTAACAACATTTTCTTCAGAAATTTTTCTTCGAGTAATGCGTCTGGGGAACAAATGCTTTTGACTCGATGTTACAGAGTTTTTACGAGTCCAAGTTTGTAAGCCATGGGTGATAATCTAGGGAACTGTAGATACCGAACACTCCATGTTGCTTTTCTGTGGATAGAACGCTGTAATTCTAATATCCAGAGATGTTCAAAAATTGTTGGTCTCTTCTTCTTCATAGGATACGGAAAGACGTGAATGAACAGAGCTAAATTGTCTCAAAATGGATTCAAAATGTTCACACCCTGTTGTGTACTGACTGCTGTTGAGACTGCTATCGCACCACCAAATTCCGTGCCGAAAAGAAAACAATAAAAAAAGCATTCGTTCTATTCATTGGCTCCGGTGCGTTCTGAACATTTGGTTTAATTGACCAATCAGAATCGTCGAACCGCTCGATTGACTACGCTGTCTGACCAATCAGAAATGTCCGGGCGAATACACTGGTCAATCATTTCGGGTCAGAGGCTCACCCAGTTGCGGATTTTTCTTTTGGCTATTTTCGTCAAAAATATGCATTTTTCGACGGGATTTTTTTGGAATTTAACCTTCCTGACACTCCATAAGAATGAAAATATACATTTCCATTCACTAGGATTTACAAATCCAATGTGCTATAAATGTGCTTGTGTGTTTGTTTTACGTCAACGATTGAGAAGATTAAACGAAATGTTAATACATCTCGCGACACATGTCTTCCTTCGGTCTTGATAGGATTAAATAAATGACCGAGAGAGCAACAGCAAATTGTCACGTGACATATGTCCCATCCATTGCAACTTCATAATGCTGGTTAATGCTCGTTAAACCGTGATGGACGGGTCAATAAATCTTGAGAGACAAATAACTATAAACAACATGCTCGTATCCGGTTAATTGCAAATGATGTCAGTCATAACTTGCTTGATTCGTCACGAATAGTTCCGAATCACAATGGATAGTAAACAAGGCAATTCCTTGTTCTCTCTGTCTGATACCGTTCACTTTTTGTCCGACTGGAGTGAACAGTTTCGCACACGTGGGACTATTCTGTCAAACCATAAATGGCTTCCGTTCAAAACGACTAATGGTGCCCATGATGCCTTATCGAACTTCCGATCTGATAGCCGCATCTGACTTGGCATTGGAGATCTGCATACTAAGCTCACTTCGTATCTGCATTATGCATCGAATGTACGTATCACATTCGTGTGTCTTCCATGAATCCACAAAATATCCCACACCTCACCGAACCCTCCCCCCCTCCC